AGATGACGATGACAAGGAAGTACTACCAATCATATTAACTTTTAACGACATTCAATTACCCAAAATAAGCTTACATGGGCTAAAGTGCTCAGCTCGTTGAGTGACATTCTTAGATTCTGGTGTAACATGATGTGTAGCACCCGAATCAACCACTCATTGATTCAAACCAGTCGCTAATTCAGCACGAGTAGAGGATGACTCATCTGCTTGAGCTACTCCACACTTCTTAGTGCGACAACAATCACAGTTCGAGTTTTCAACAACAGTGAAGTTTATTTTTGATGCTTCCTGCTTAGCTTGAAACTGACTTGTATCAACATCTACACCAGTGAAGGTTTCATCAAACCTATGCCAACATCGATTGATAAGGTGTCCGACCTTGCCACAAAGCTGACACTGTACACGTGGTCTTCCTCGACCACGCCCTGCCGAACGCCTACCAAACTGAAAACGGTATGTTGGATTACGACTATCACCACCAGCATTATTGATCGTGCCATGAGCCACATGAGCATTTGCAATGACATTTTCTTCTTGGGCAGCAAACGCAGCTAATTGAGTTTCAGCATCAACTAACATAGTGTACACTCTATCAAGAGGAAGCGACTCACCACTGGACGTTATAACAGCCATGAACAGTTGATAATCTCTTAGAAGTCCTTTAAGGATGCTGACAATGTGTTCCACAACAGGAACTGGACTGCCACAGGATGCCAAGCCATCGCATACTTCCTTAACTCGGGTAAGAAATACCCTCATACTATCTTCCCCCTTTCTAAGAGACTGTAATTTGTATTGTAAGTTCATAATCGACGTCGTGGATCGATTAGCAAAGAATTGCAGAACAGTACTCCACACTGCAGTAGCTGTTTCTGCACCAACAAACTGAGGTAGCAGATGAGCGCTGATGGTGGACAGGAGCCAAGAGGCTAAAGCACTATCCTGAGCGACAAAGTCATCGTAAGCCTCATTAGCAACTGATACACCATGTTCATTAGTGACCATCACCGGTGGAGCTCGCATCGCACCAGTCAACAGCCCTTCGAGACGATGAATCCTCACGGTAAGAAGGACTTGTTGCTTCCAAAGCAGAAAATTTGTCTCATCAAGAACCACATTCACTTTCTTATTTGTGAACATTTTGCAATTTCTTGACGCAATCCTCAGCCGAAGAATGAAGACCTTCACGCAAACACCAACTTCAGTTACGCAACAGCAACTTCACCACGACGAATGGCGAATGATACCATATAAAGAAGCACAGTATGCTTATCAAGAAAATGTATCAATCTTGTATTCAACACAGGCACTTAAGCCAAGTTTATATAGGTACACATACAACAATAACTGCTCATAACAGATTATAAACAAACTCTAAACCATCTGCTAACAGGTAAAAAAATCTAAACCACCTGCAAACTATTCTTTAACGTCCTCAACTGCATTACCACATATACTGCTAACAACCTTCAAATCAACCTGCAGCAGCATCTGCAAGCACCGATATTTTCATAAATTTCTTTCAACAGTTAGAAAAAAACTAAACAAAATAATCATAAGAGCATCCATGGCCAGAAATGCGGGCTGTTAAACATAAAAAAGATAAGAACATTGATATTAAAAATGGAACCCCAAATGAAAAATAAAGAGAAACAGGTCGAACTCGAACCACAAACTTCATGCAAGACCAGCAAGCATATTACAAGCAGCACCAATGCCCTAGCAGTCACATAGAAGGTTAACAAGAGAATCTCTTAATAGCAAAACGACAAGAAAGAGAAGATAGAGAGGTGAGAAGAACACAAGGGGATGGTAGCTCCCAATTTATATAGCATTTGAAAACAGTAGTAAAAGTTTGCATGGTGCAACCATTTTCACACATTTTCTTTGGGAAATGATTTTTGATAGTATGGCGCCGTTTCAAACAAATAAAAGTCATTAGCAACATCACTCCACAAATGTACTAAGAAGTCTCCTCAGTCCCCACCATCTACAATTTATTAATCAAATTAATAATCCATAGTTAAAATCATCTCAACAAATGTTCTTTCTTTTTTATTATTAACCAATGTATACATGATTTAATTAATTATGTAAAATAATAAAAATTCCATAGTTTAATTTGTTTGGGAGGTGGAAAATACAAACCGGTTGCCAAGAAGGTTGTGCATTCGGATAATGAGGTCGTCTTCTTCCTTAGACATTTCTCCGCATTTGATGTTTGGCCTCAGGTAATTCTTTTATCTCAATCTGCAACTTTTCCCTCCTCTCTTCAACCCTGCAAATCCAATTATTTATATATATATAAGCAATGCATATACATTTATAAAGACCTGATCTCAAGAGACGGTTGCTCAGTTGCCTTCGTCATAGATTTCTATATACTATATAGTTCTTCAAAATCATGTCTTCCTCTGCCTTCCATAGTCAAACGGTGATGATGGAGAAAGCAAGTTTGACGATAAGAAATCAAAACAAAAGATGATAGAAAAAGTAAAAAAAAAAAAAGAGGAGAATCAAATAATCGGTCAAAGGGTATCCTACATGCTCAAACGGTTCTAGGTCAGTTGGTTTAACGTGCCACATCAGCATTTTGTTACTGCAGTAACAGCTGTTAACAGTGAGTGATCGATTTATTATAAATCGATAACGTTAATGACCAATTTGTTACTTTTGAAACTTCAGCGGGAAAAACAAAATTTTACTCAAATATTAGTGAACATTTGTATATTTTTCCCTAATAAATTTAACGTATTATTAATTTTCACTTGAAGCGAAGTAAAAGTATATATTTTTTATTTTAAACTTAAAATCCACGAATACAAGCAAAAGATAAGCTTAAAGCCAGAAAATATGGGAAATTTGGTTTGATAAATGCATGAAAGGGTGCCATGGTTTTGGTTTTGGTTTTGATGTATATACTTCTCGACGCAGCCCTGATGACGGTGAGAAGATTTTGGGTTTCATTGTGTGGTTCCTGGAGTATTGAGAGTCTCATGTTTCCGTCGTGATCATGTCCAGCTAAAGCCATCAGTAACTTTGTTAGTTTCCCGGAGTGTATAAGCAATCTTGACAGTCCACTGCAACTTGAGCATGTTTCTGATTCTTCAGGTGATCGTCGGCTCATGCACCAAGCCACGTGAGTTGAGAATTTCCACCGCCTCATCTTTGTCCATCTCAACTTCGACATGCATAACTCCATAATCTCACACTATAACTAGACCATCAAGAAAAACTCACAGTTCGACATGGAAGATTTGAACAATGCCAATATTGTCTAACTGTAGATATATATTTTTTCATTAATGAGATATGACAACCTTAAATATTTGATGGTTTATCTTAATTTCAACCCAAATCTTAATCACTAAAACCCAAAATATAATTATGGATAGAGGTTTAGTTTGAAGTAGATTTTGGTCGAGAAATATGAATCCATGATGAAGAACAAAGTCATAGCAAGGAAGAAATCTGGATCGGGCTTATGGTTTGGACTACCACCATAAATCTTAATAATAATGATCCAATATAAACTGATTTTTTTAGTAAAAAAAATAGTGGGGTAAAGTACACTATTAGTCACTAACCTATTATTTTTTTAGTTTCGATCATCGAACTATTTTTAAGTAAAATTATCACTATTAATAATCAAATGTTAAAAAACAAACAATAACGTTAACATAATTTTTTATTTTCTTAAAATTTCACGTTATTTTGTGTCGATCTTAAATAATTTTATTTGAACCAATAAGATGGTGATATATAAAAACTAAATTGTGAAAGGGTAGATTCTTTGTAAAAGCAATTATACGCCAAGCTGAGTCAAATATATGTTAACTTTTCACCAAAACTTATATTTAAATTAATAACACACAAAAAAAAAATTAGGTGTGCATTTGGAGAGGGAGAGATTCAAACTAGATTCTTGATTAAGTATTAGGTTTGAATCTCCCTCTCCACTCTGGTTATACACTTTACTTTTGTGTGTGTGATTAGACTCAAAAAATTGTTTTAGTATTGTCATTAATTCTTTAATAGTCGATGATCAAAATAAAATATAAAACATTAATAATAATTCAGTAATTAAAGTAGAAAATATATAATAAATTTGTAATTAGTTATGTAATTTTTCTAATGGCACCACCTCATTTATTTATTTATGAATTATGATGAAGAACAAAGTCATAGCAAATTTCTCCTTTGGAAAAAAAAAAGGGAAAATGAAGACATGACTTTTTGGTGGTCAAAAAAGCCTCAAAACACACCAAGAATTTCCCTATTCCTCTTTGGAAAATGAAAATTGTGCTTCTCATCTCTCATTTCATTTGGGGTTGTTTTTAAACATAATTCACCAATATCATTTAATTATAGACTGATTCTCGTTTTCCCAATTGTTTGATTTATTTATTTAAGGATTCATATAATATGCATTTAGATACTGATGTATTAAGAAAAAACAGCATGGATTTCTACTCTTCTTTTGACATTAAGAGACAAGGAATTCCATTACCTTTACCATAAAGCTAGGGCAATTAGTAAGATATAAACCAAAATTTTATGGTAGTTTGGTTACTCATCCACCTAATTTTGTTTCATTTATACTTTGTTATTAATATTATACTTTCGTCTCGATACGGACACATAATTTTATATTAGACTATAAGAATTTAAAACAAACTTATATTTCCATTAAATATGTAAAAAAACATATCCAATATATATATATATAAGTAAAAATTTTAACCCTACCCATTTCGGTTCATCACTACTTCCTTCAATTTATTATGTTGAAATCATTGTTCATTATAACCAATTAAATTCCAAAAAGCCACAACGTGAGCATAAATAGGAAGTGAAATGAATGACAAATTTGCTCAATGTTTGAACAACCTAGAAGCAAAGTTGGAATTGCAACAGCTTAATACGTGATTAGTAACTCGTTTGTCAATTGGAATTCTAATATGGGGTTAATTGTGTAATTATAAAAAGATTGATCAAAGTGTCTATACGCTTAGGCCTTGAGATAATTAAAGGGAATTTATCCAAAAAGAGAAGAAGGAAATAAAGAAAAGCTGCCCCCTTTGTTTTTTCTTTTCACATTTTCATTTTTCACTTTGCTTTTTTTACGGACTTGAACTGAAACGTTACCATGGCCGTTAATATCGCCGTTACCGTATTTAGCTTTCGGCAATGGCTTCTTCCATTCCCTCGCCACCGACGTCTTCTTCATCCAGCCACCGTTCAACCGGAGAGCACTCGGCTTTGTGTCGTAGCTTCCAATCAAGAGCCTGGCAAGCGCGTGAACAGTAATTAACAGCACCACAAACCGAACACCGTCTAAACTCGTGTTTTCTTGTCTCCGGTCTCCCGCAACCGACGTGCGAGCATAGCCTCAAACCCGGACCGGGAAATCCGTCTCTGGAACCGAACCACTCCGTTAAAAACTGGTTCGCCGGATGCGCTACCGGCGCAGGTACATTGCATCCAAAATCACTCAACAACGGGCATCCGGGAACGGTCGGATGACGGTTGTTGGGATGCGGGATCGGGTGTGGGGTCCACGTGAGCCAAGAGCGCGTACCGATGTTAGAAACGGATGCTGAAGATAAACCCGCAACAAGCTCTCGGGCGTTGGCTTGGACGAGAAAACGACGGCCCTCGGTTATGTTTTGTCGGACGCCGTAACCGTCTTGTAGGCAGTGACCGAGTTCACGCAAAGCGTCGACGTGCCCGAGAAAAGCAGCTCGCGCGCACAAAGCAACACCGGCTCTAAGATCTTTATCGTTCTTAGAGCCGCCGCTTCCGTTAAACTGTATAACAGCTAAGGAGTAAAGCGCCGGCGCGTGGGAACTAATCGCTGCCTTTGCCATAAAAGAAGCTCCACTCCCCCGGTTTTGCAAACAATAGAAACGAATCTGTTGCAAATCATAAAACTTTTAACCATTTAGAGAATGTTTAAATTCTCCAAAAACAATAAGAAAACAAATCATTTTCTCCGAGTTAACTCACCATGCCGAGTGTGTAACAAGCTTCAACATTTCCAGCATCGGCGCAAGACTTCAAGAACCTGTGAGCAGACTCCGACCATTTTTCAGCTTTAACGGCGAACAATTTCGGAGAGGCCTTCGATAATACCAAAGGTTGAAGTGCAAAGCTATGTAACCTCTTGCATCTGTTTCCCGAAATTAACCAATAAATCCGTAAGAAACAAAAGAAAAATACACCAGATACAAGAAATCCAGTAATAAAAAGATAAAAAAGAAAACGACATACACAATCAACACGTTGATGAAATCGGAAGGGCAAGAAGCGGAAGAGCTGAGCTTGGAGAGTATAGAAATGACAAGATCATCGGGTAAAACATCAAACATATCACTCTTCCCGGCAACCACCGGCGAGAATCTCTGCCGTTTACGGCAACCCATGTTACACCGATCAAAGTCTCTTCGTTAGCTACAGACTCATCAATACAAGCATCGTCTCTAGGGTAACAAATCCCTCTCCTCGTTCTCATTTCTCTTTATCCCTAAAATCCTGAGCTTGGAGAGTATAGAAATGACAAGATCATCGGGTAAAACATCAAACATATCACTCTTCCCGGCAACCACCGGCGAGAATCTCTGCCGTTTACGGCAACCCATGTTACACCGATCAAAGTCTCTTCGTTTAGCTACAGACTCATCAATACAAGCATCGTCTCTAGGGTAACAAATCCCTCTCCTCGTTCTCATTTCTCTTTATCCCTAAAATCTAGAAATCTATCTAAAAATATATCTATTCTATCTCTAAATCTCTGTATGTTTTTTCTTTTCTTTTCTGTGCGCTTAGCAAAGAGATGATAAAATGGAAAACAAAAAGCAAAGTGAGAATGGGAAGGCACAAAACAAGGCCTTAAAAGGAAGAGCAAATAAACCAGAAAAAACAACATAATAATTTAACAGTAAAACAGCTCGTGGTATGGTTAATTACATTTTTAGCCCCGATCAGTAATTGTTTTTACGGTCTTATTGCCGTTAACCCATATCCCTCCGTTGGCCGTGCGTATGACGGGATCATCCGTCTTTATTTGCCTAAGAGATCAGATAAAGGTTAAAGGGAAATAAAGAAACCGTAAAAAATATTTTTACCGTTTCAGCTTCTTATTTACCAATTATTTGTTTGATGCTTTGTGAGTTTTTTTCGAAAGTGGTAAATTTATTGCAAGCAAAACGACTAAATACGGTTTTTTTTTCTTTGAGATTATATCCGGCTCGTGTACTACGCAACCGTTTTGGTCAATTGTATAGGGAGTGATGGCCACGCTCATTGTTTGCGGGTGGGGAAATTGACAACCAAATGAACAAACTCGGTGTAAACTCAGTTCAGCTAATTCTGAGTTAATCGCCTGACGAGAGGACTCATAAGAAGGTCAAACGTATGAATCAGCATTCAGCACCCACGACTGTTCAGGTACTCTTCTTTGTTTAATTTTCGCTTATTAAATTTATCATTTCCCCTTTTTAATTAATTAAAAAATTAAAACATTAGTTGATTATTTCTGGACTGCCAACAATTAATGGTAGTGGATTCCAAAATTGTCTTAGGTAGGGAAAAAATAAAAAATAAAAATTGAATGTTGTTCTAATAATAAGAGAGTTATATATACAGTATTTTGGATAATTGTATAATAATAATTATTACTGAATACTTTTATAAGGGTAAATATGAGATCGACTTAATTCGATTATATTTTTATAAGTTGAAGAAAAAACATATTTAGTGAATATTTTATTTTATTTTATTTTAACCGTAAGTGACTGCTAATTACATGAAGAAATTTCTAGTCGATCACAACTAACATCTTAAAAATATATGTAAATATTTTATTTTTGAAAGTTCAACTACCTGATTTATTTATGAGAATACTAATATTATGGTTGTTCAATTATACGGCATAATCATCCGAAGATGAATTACATAAAAGTCATATTTCAGATATTTTATATAATTTAAATTTTAAATTAATTAATTAGGAGACAAAAATTATAAACACTACGTTATTTTTTTAATTAATAGTAATAACTAATTTTGTTAAAAATATATAAATTATAAGATACATTTACAAAAATTAGATTCAACTAATATTAACTAGTCATTGAATACTAAAATATGATTATGAAGATATGACCAAAAACTAACAAAATAAAAAAGAAAATGATATGTATAAACAAACATCATTACCACTAACATAAAAATGATGATATTGAATATCCATTAAATGGTCTTAGTGGTTAAAATGAGTGTTGTTATTCTTAGATATAATGAGTTCAAGCAGTTGCGTCTAGGGGTGTGTGTGCGCTGTGTTAGTGACTTAGGGGTTGTTTGTTTGCCTCTTAATGGAATCATTCAGCGCTGAATGCTAAACCGTTCATCATTCAGCGCGTTTGTTTCGCACCTCTGAATGATTCATTGTTGACTGATTCAGCAAAACAGTGCTGAATGATTCATCACATAAGTACATTCTGAATGATTCAGAGTCACTATCAAACAGCATGTCACATTCAGAGCTAATTCATATGCCTCTGAATCATTCAACATTTGAATCATTCGGTGCTTAATCATTCTGGAGTAAACAAACAGCCCCTAAGAAATTTTTTGACCAAATATTATTTTATAATCATCATAAACTATTAGAAAAATGACGGCATTGATAAAATGATTTTACAACAACCCAAGTAAGATCTAATTTTAGTGATTTGTGAGCATTTATAATACTCGAATATCAATTTAAGGATCTAAATTATGAACAAATCAATAAAATAATCAATTACGGAGAAAACTTTAAATCTAATCCTTAAAATAACATGATAAAAGAACATAAAAACATTCAATATTTTCATTAAGATATAAAATACTTGTGAATCAAAAAAATCTCAAAGATACATATATAAAAAATTTAAGTAAATAAATAAATAATACAAAAAAATAATGATAAAACAGAGATAATAATAATTTGATTAAAGACCAATAGCATCACCGATAAATAAATATAAAGAGGAAAATAAAATAATAATAAAACCCTAGGCGGCGTTAAACATTACTCTCGTCTAACCTACGGTACTCTAATATATTTCCGTAGTCCGTTGAATATTAATATTGAAATACACATGTTACATAAATAGAGCAGGACCATTTTCATTTTAGGACCAAACAACATAAATTTTATGATAAAGTCCCATGTTGTATATAATGTTATTATCTTTAACTTCAAGCTGTTTTTAGCAATTAATTCCCTATTCACGATAATCAATCTCCCCATAAATACTTTGTTTAAATTTTGGTATCCTCGTTCTTAAAGATAAAGGGAAAACCAGTTTTTTTAATATATATTTTCAAGTTTCCAAATGCATATTTTTAATGCCATTTATTTAAGTCTTAAATGATGAAATTTACAATTAGAAAAGGGAAAATGCATTGGTTAAAACCCTAATCTAAATATTAGGTTTGGTTATGAAAATAATGAGAACCAAACGCTAAAACCCTAACCTAAATATGTAGAGCGAAAAAAAAGAAGAAAATGTAGGCTTTTTTTTAACTCAAATAGCATCCTCACAATAATTAATTGTCAAAATAACATTTATGGGTGATTAATTTTTGATCTAGCATCCATTTTCTCTCGTAGGCAAAGGTGTGTTTTGTCAAAATAGTTAATGAGCATTGATCCAATTTGTGTTATTTTGGTAAATATTTTTTTAGGTTAAATTTGGGTAAGAAAGCCGAAAATGTAAGATATAGGGTAAAGCATAGGATGCCACTCCACTTTGATTCACTTTATAAAGAGGCTTTACGACTGTAAATAATAATTATTTTATTTACTGAAAATAATTCCGTACATGGAAGAATAGAGAATAGATAGGGGAATGGCGTGGAAGGGAAGGAGGTGAAGTCGACCAGTGGTGTCATAACATCGAGGACCCCACATGTCCCCTTCTCCAACTAGACAAATCACACTTCCTTTCTTGGTGTCAACTTTTCTCTCTCTTTTTATTTATTTATTTTTAAAACGGAATGCGCCGTACCCGACTTTTGTTTCGTATAATTTGGATGTCAAAATTTCAGTGCTTACTTGCGGGTACGGTAACGCCGTCGCCGTTCTTTCCTATTCCCCATATTTCGTATATATATATCAGTGTGAAAAAACAAATATATATAATTATGTAAAAAGGAATAGTTAATTTTATTAAAAATAATAAAATATCTAAAATTATAGTAAATATTTATAATGTATTCTTAAATTAAATACATTTTTATAACCATCAATACAAAAAATTAATCACTTGAGATCATAGATGAGTATACAAGTGTAGGGTTAAAATCTAATCTAAAAACTTAGTAAGATATAGATACGAATAAATCTGACTACATCGACAAATGAACCATAATAAGATATCAAACTATTGAAAGATCATCGACAATCGCAAATCATAACCAAATGTCGTGAGAAAACTATATTCGAACACAAACTATGTATACAATCTAATCCAAATAAAATCCAAGGATATTTAAAATTACATTTTAAATTTTATTTTTATATGATGTCTAAATTATTAAAATTTTAAATTAAAGTATGTAATATGTTTATATTTATATTATTTTAATTAAAAATCATTTAATATATGAGATATTTAAATTTTTGAGTCAACATTATTATATGTTTTACTCTTAAATACTAAGATCTTAAACCATAAATTTTAAATTATATATACTAAACTTTTAAATCTTAAATCTTTAATAAAATGTAAAGCATAAATTTTACACAGACTATAGATTAATTTTTTTTATACATTAAATTAGCAACCATGTTAATCAACTTAAGATTCAAGTACATATTTATTTTATAAGATTTTAATTTAATAATTTAAGTTGAAAATGTGCACTTAATAGTTTATATAGTTGTGTTTTTCTTTTTCTGGTTACATAAAGTTTAAGTCAGGGGTGACTCTCCCAGTTCAGGGTTAGGACATATCTAAGACCTAATTGGGATGTACATAGGAATTTACAGATTCTCTATCAAGAATAACGGTGGTAAGATTTGAACTTGACCTTACAAATTCACCACTTGTACCACATCCAATTAAGGAATTCTTTTTGTACCACATCCATCTTAAAATAAAATAGAAGCCACTCCAATTAATTTATTTTTATGTAAATAATTACGGTTGGTGTTTCCGCGTTTAAAGAGAACTTCATAAATTCTTTTCTTTTTACTAGAAGCCGCTCAAATATTTATTTATTTTCTCAACAGAGAGATCAGATTACATGTGATGGGGGCTGGCGCAAGTAAACTTGATTTGACACTTAATAATAGAGATCAGTTGTTGATTAGTGATACCAATACTTTTCGAAGGGTTGACTAATCCGGATTACGTGAAGGACAATGTGTGATCATTCGCAGGTTTAACTTGTTTGCAATTGGTTTCTTCATGTACAAGGGTCATCGAGGGAAGCTGCTAAGAGCCTTTTTTGCTGTCAAAAACACGGCGTTTCTTATATGAGTCAAATACGTGATAATGTTAAACGTTACCGTTTTTTGTCTTCCTTTGTGTTTTAAAAACGATATGCAGAATATATTTTATGTTTGCTGTTTTGTTTTGTAGCTTAGATTCGTCTGATGGGATGTTTTTTTTGGGCATGGCCACGGCTCTTGTCATTTTGAGATAACTATCCCTCCCTATTTTCTCGTCGTAGGATAGACATGATTAAGTATAAATACGATAATAATAATTATTATATAACATTCATATCGTATATATTTATATGAATATATTATTTATAGAAGAAAAAAAATAAAATTCTATACGTAGGGAATTATAATTATTCATTTTAAGTTATATTCTAAGTAAAACATAATAATAAT